GAGAGAAATGTATTTAGTTGACTCCAATTAAATACAGAATACGGTAAAATTCCTCCAGAAGGGTATGAAGGTAAAAGAAATGTATTTATTTCCTTTTTTCTAATGATAGAACTTCATGCATTTGACTTACATTCATTTAGAATTTTTGATCATTTGAACACTGGATTGAGTRTTTGCAATTTCTAAGTGATAGGGGTTTTTCTGAGCAAAATTTAGGAAGATGTACCTGCACAARTATATATATAACAAATCCTGCTATTATGTATGATTATAATGCACCAATAAACTTTTTTAATTTTAAAGTTAAAAAATAAAAACTAATGTGTTTTTTTAAAAGATTTAGAAGCATATGTTCAAATTTTAATCTCATCCAAGAATTAAGTCTACCTTTTCAGAGTGAGGGGCTGTGTTGAGGAGTAGCCAAGGGTAGAAAAGCCTGCAAATTTGGAGACCTGGGATCCTGGGTAGGCTGAAATATTTTTATGAAATTTTTTAATTGTGATAAAAATGCAGATTATAAACTCTACCCCTTTAACCACATTAAAGCATACAATTCAGAAGCRTTAAGGACACTCAGAATGTTGTACAATGAACACCACTAACCATTTCCCRTACTTTTCATCATTCCAAACAGAAAATCTATACCCACTACATAGTAGCTCCTATCTACTCTCCCCAGCGCCTGGTAGCCTCTGATCTACTTTGCATCTCCATGACATATTTCATATAAGTGGACTCCCACAGTATTTGTCGGATTGTGTCTGGCCTACTCACTTAGCATGATGTTTGCAAGATTTATCTATAYGTCAGAATTCTATTCTTTTATGTATTGGCCGGGGCCAAGGGCAAGGGGGAGGAGCATTGTACAGAGATTGAACCCAGGGGTGCTTAGCTACTGAGCCACATYCCCAACCCTTTTTAGATTTTATTTAAAGACAGAATCTCCCTAAATTGCTTARAGCCTCCCTAAGTTGCTGAGACCGGCTTTGAACTTGCGATCTTCCTACATCAGCCTCCCAAGTTGCTGGGATTACAGGCAATAATTCCATTCTTTTATAAAGCTGAATAATAGTCTATTGTATGAATATACCACATTTAGTTTATTATTCATCTACTGGTGGACATTTGGACTGTTTCCACCTTTTAGCTATTGTAAGTAATGGTTTGCATGCATTTGTTGAAGTCAAGACTTTCTTTTCTTTTGTGTCTATACCTAGAACTAAAATTGCTATATACTATTCTTAGGCTCTTCTGAATTATCTCTACTAGAGCATGGGAAAGCCTTGCTCTACCTGAAATTAAATCCATATATTTTGTTGAYTCCAAATAACAAAATGACTTTTCTTTCTTTGAAAAAGGAAGAATTATTAAAAGGTTGATAAGTTATATTTACTGATTCATCTTAGCATTTTCCTGTGGTCTGATTTATGAGTTCTCACAGTGTTCATAGTTTTAAAATGCAGATTTTATTTTATATTTAAGTATGGTGAGGTCAACATATCAGGATGCAACTGCCATTAAGAAGATACTCTACGGGGCTGTGGTTGTAGCTCAGTGGTAGTGCACTTACCTGGCATGCGTGAGGCACTAGGTTCGATTCTCAGCACCATATATAAATAAATAAAAGTCCATTGACAACTTAAAAAAAATCTTTAAGAAAAAAAAATAAGATACTTTATGGGCTGGGGATATAGCTCAGTTGGTAGAGTGCTTGCCTTGCATGCATAAGGCCCTGGATTCAATCCCCAGCACCACACACACAAAAAAAAGAAGATTTATTAACTCGCAGTACCCAAGATAAAGGGGCACAGTCCCATACAAAAAGAAAGACTTCATGGGCCTTCTCAGGAAAGAACTAGTGAGGCAGAGTGAGCAGGTTTAAGACTGACCAGCYTGAATAATTTTAGCAGCTCTGGGGTGGAGGAGCTACCCTACTTGTCTGATATCTGGCTTCAGGATAATCAGGGCAGGCAAATAGTTTTCTGCAAGGTAAGAGCCCAATAAAGCTTAAGGTTTAGATTGTTATTTTGCATATGGAATGCACACTCCCAAGAGAGTCATTTGTTATCTCTAGGAATTAGCTAGTCCTGGGAGCGGGCAGTCCCTGCCTGATCAGCAAGGCCCCCAATGCAAAGCATCAGATACATCACAAAATGAATGTTTCTAATGAACACCTTAATGAACTCATTCAATCACAAACAACAAGGAGGTTCCAAAGAAAGACTCAYTGGTGTTGCAGATCCAGGGTCTGAAACAGTGGTTCTCCATGCTAACCATCTGTTAAAATAACTTAGGAATTTTCTAACCGGTACCTTTGGGCAYTGATCATTTTAAAATCTCCTCGGGTGGTTTTCATGTGCATTTTTGGTTGAGAAACACTGGTCCAGGACAATCTTTTTCAGAGTCTGAACCARAAACAGCAGCAGCAATGTGTCCTGGGAACGTATTATAAATGAAGATTCTCAGGCCCACCCCACGGTAGCTGAGTCACCCCACAGTAACTTCCAGGAGGTTCTGAGACCTKCCTGATTGTAAGGACCTGTGGTGTAGGGAGAGGAGCACCAACTTGACTACAATGTCCTCCCTTCACACTCCTGAGCTGATAATTGTTCATCACACTCAAACCTTAAAGGCAGTGGCCTGGTGAAGCTCAGCTAGCGTGTTTTGCCASCAAGTATCAAGTCTGCATGACACGGGGCCATTCTTACAGGGAGGTATCTTGAGGACATCTAGGAGGTTCTCAGGTTCTCCCTGACCCTACAGTCTCTCAAGGCTGGGCTCGCAAGCACAGTCAGCACTGTAWCCTGAAGGAGTGRCTGAGATCAGGTGGGAWATACTATATGCAATCACTGAAGTGGTAACTGGAGAACCCAGTGGTTCTGGTGGAGGTWAAAACCCAGGGGACCTCAAGAGCCTGCTGAGGTGGAAGCAGGTGTCTGCACAGAGCAGATGRGCTCACACACTGCTTTTCTGAATCAATGACTTATTACTTAAGAACTCCTCAAGTATCTTCAAACTGCAGATTTTAATATTCACAGGAGACCAAATAAGTGGGTAAACTGTGAGCCTTACAAAGAACCAATGAAAGCAAATGTAGTATGGAAGAGGGARAAATTGAGTGAATAAGTGGATTTTTCCCTAAGGAAGAAAATCATTGCAGAGAATTMACATAGACTGTAACCAGAATGGAAGAAAAGAATTTGTGGATAACTTTTCCTCAGTAACAAGAAACTGGTTCTTGGGTCTTAGACCTGCATCCTGATCCCAGCCAATCCCATTAGCAGTAGTGRATTTGGACAAACTAATTAAATTCTAAATGTTGTTCTTCATCTACAAAATGGAATTATGATAGTAACTACCCAATTGTTTGCTTTAAGGATTAAATAATAGAATGAAAATAAAATGCTTAGCATTGTGCCATTTATGAACACTCAAACTCTAGCGACCACATCTGCTACTAATGCTGTCATTAAGTTTATTATTAGCACAGTGACTGTGTTAGTCTGTTTTATGTTGCTATAACAAAATGCCAGCGCTGCATACATTATAGAAAAAGAGCACTATTTAGCTCATATCTCTGGAAGATCAGGGGCACAGCAACAGCATCTGGTCAACTTTGGCAAGGCCCTCATGGCAGATGCCATCACAATGACAGAGGTGCATGTGAGAGTAGCAAGCAGCATGCATAGAAGAGGGACTAGGGACAGGTACTGGGCTGACCTCTATCAACCCTTCTCAAGGGAACTAATCCAGTCCCAGGAGACCTGCCCTAGTCTCAGATAGCATCAATTAATTTTTTAAGGGAGAGCACTCATGGCCAAAGAACCTCTAAGCTCCGCTGCTTAAAGTTTCTAGCATCTCAATATAAAACCACCACAACAAGGGTCAAGCTCGAAGAATGACAAGCTTTGAAGAACAAAYCACATCCAAACCAAAGCACAGACCTAGAGCGAGTCTCCCAAGTCATTAGCTGTTCTCATTAGTAATACCACTACTACTGCCTCACGATTACACTCACGTCTGGGAACAGGCTGTAGCCAGATACACAAGCCAATGAACCCCCTCAGAAAAATGTTCTTYCTCAACATTCAGAAAACTTGTCTGAGTTTCCTACTTTGAAGAAATCTTGCCTTAAACAAAATAGGCCAAGTTATGCTGCCATAACAAACCTCACAACCTCAGCAATTTAACATTGGAAAGGTTTGGGGGCTTTTTTTTTACTTGTTTGGAGGTTTTTTGTTGTTGTTGTTGTTGTTGTTTTTCTTGCTTGGGTCCCAATCAAATGTGAGTCAGTTGATATTTGCCGTCCAAGTGGTGACTCAAAGACCCAGCCAGCTTCCTTGTGCACATATACTCATGAAGGCCAGGCTTAGAAATGGCTTACACTTTGTGGCTTTCCCTCCTGGATCCAAGTTCTAGAACTAGAACTAATCTTATCCTCTTCCCCAAGCTAATTAATTATACTGATATTTGTGAATCCATATATCTCATAGAATGAATTGAAGCTCATGAACCATTATGGTAGATCTCATTTAAATATACTAGTTGGTCTAAATCCCAAGTAAAATTGAGCATAAGTGTAGTCTAACAGATATGAATTGAGTGGTGCAATTACCTCCTTTATTCTAGATAATAAACTTCTATTCATGAAGCATAAGTTTGCATTCTTATATTTCTTGAGGGATGGGGTGGGGCTAGTAATAATGAACTTAGCATGAACCAAAACTGTCATAAGTATACTATGAATTCAGTTCCCTCTTATCAATATTTTTTCCCTTTTGAATCTGAACAAGAATCTCCATTATAGATCTTCACAAGGAAAGCATAAATCAAAGAGATTTGATTTCTCTGATTTATACCCATTCACTCTGAGGTGGCTGCCTCTCCCCAGTGTGCCTGATAGCTCAGCCATACTGATAGCAAAGGTTAGAAAAGGTGGCTGCAGAGCCTTAACCACCAATTATTTCTCTGGCTGACCTTTCTCCTCCATCTTACTGCAGGTACCACATCTGCGTGACTGTGCTCATCTACTTCCTCCCCCTGCTGGTAATTGGTTATGCATACACCGTAGTGGGGATCACACTGTGGGCCAGTGAGATCCCTGGGGACTCCTCTGACCGGTACCATGAGCAAGTCTCTGCCAAGCGCAAGGTGAGTGAGGAGCAGACAGTTCCTAATGGACCCTGGCTCAGGCTACAGGCTGGTGAGCAGAGCCACCCAGAGGCAGCAGGCATAAGACAGCCCTGGGTCTGGGTAACAGACCAGGGAAGGAAGAGAGCCACCTTTCTCCATATGTACATATACACTCATACACACTCAAACACACACTCATACACACTCATAGACTCATACTCACCCTCATACACACACATACATACTCATAGACTCATCCACACACTCATCCATACACTCACATGCACTCATACACACTCATACACATACACACACATAGACTCATTCACACACATATAAACATACATACACACAATAGTAACCACTATTGTTTGTTTCCTGTTAACCCTCCTAGATATTGGCATTTATAAATAAAATTAAGATATACTATTTTCTCTTTTTTTATGCAAATAGTAAATATATACTGTGGTCACATTTTTCACTTAAAATTCACAAGAATCTGAAAATCAGTAAATGAGAAGCTTCCTCTTTCTGTTCTCTCCTTTCAGTTCTTCTTTGCATGGTATTTCATTATGGATGCTGTAGTGTTCTTCACTGAAGATTTCTTGGGGATAAAAAGAAGTTTATGTCATCCAGATTCTTAGTGCATTTGAGACACTATAACAAAATACCTTTGACTGCAAACTTACAAACAACAGAAATGGATTATCACAGCTCTACAGGCTGTGAAGTCCACTATCAAGGCACTGGCAGATGGGGTATCTGCTGAGGGCAGCTCCTGGTTGGTGGGTGGAAGGTGCCTTACCTGGTGACCTCCCATGGTGGAGGGGTGGGGGTTTCTCTGGATTCTCTGGTAAGGGTTTTAATCCCATTCATAAGGCTCTGCCCTTCAGGCCTGATCACCTTCCAAAGGCACCCCTACTACTACATCACCTAGAGACTGAATGAACGCATGAATTTGGGGGTGACACATTTATACCACAGCACACAAAATTCAGAAGACCTTCTTTTAAATCCCTTTAAACATCGGATGCACCCTGGCAGCCCTTCCCCTCCCTCTCCTGCAGTCTCCAGACCCAGCAGCCTGCCCAAGCCCATGGCTCCTCTCTTTGCCCACCTTTTTGCTACTCCCTCCATGGCCCTCTCTCCAGCACATCCCTTCACCTTTACTTGTTAATTGACCTCCCTTGGCTTAAGCCATTGCCCAGAAGAGTCACATAACACAGTTGTCCCCAAATGCAAGATTACATCAGGATCCTCTGAAGGGTTTGTCAAGCATAGAATTCCAGGTCGCAGCCTGGGAGTTTCCAGTTCACTAAGTCTGAGGTGAAACCAGGAATTTGTATGTCTAACAAGTTCCCAGAGAAGGTGATAATGACAGTCCTGGGGCCATCCTCTGAGAACTGCCCACATAACCAACGTCCCTTAGTGCTGGACATTAAAGATCCTTTCTCCTCCTTGTAAGGCAATGTTCTAAATACCCCCCACCCCATATCACACCATGTGTGGTGAGTAGAGGGAGGAGAAGGAAAGCAGCCATGAGAGAAGGAGGATGTCACCTCACCTGCTGGTCCTCTCACCAGGTGGTCAAAATGATGATCGTGGTGGTGTGCACCTTCGCCATCTGCTGGCTGCCCTTCCACATCTTCTTCCTCCTGCCCTACATCAACCCAGATCTCTACCTGAAGAAGTTCATCCAGCAGGTCTACCTGGCCATCATGTGGCTGGCCATGAGCTCCACCATGTACAACCCCATCATCTACTGCTGCCTCAATGACAGGTGAGTACCCCATTCCCCACACTCTCCAGGGGCCACCAGCCACCAAGCAGCTGAATGAGCACAGAAAGAGACAAGACGAGGGGAGGGGGGATAGTAGGGGATAGGAAAAGTAGCAGAATACAACAGTTACTAATTGGGCATTATGTAAAATTGTGGATGTGTAACCAACGTGATTCTGCAATCTGCATTTGGGGTAAAATTGGGAGTTCATAACCCACTTCAATCTAATGTATGAAATATGATATGTCATGAGCTTTGTAATGTTGTGAACAACCAATAAAAAAATTAAAAAAATTAAAAAAAAAAAAAAAGAAAGAAAGGGACAAGAGGGAGAGGTATGGACTGCAGCAAACTAACCATCACACAGTCCTCCATGCAGAGGACTGTGAGCTCAGCATGGCCTGATTATCTTTTCTTTTTCAAGAGAAACCAGAAATCTATATTTGTGTGTGAGATCTTCTGATTTTTAAATACTGGTAACTGAGCTGGGGAAGAGGGACAACATAGGATTAGAAACCTTTGTGACTGGTGTAAGTGAACAAAGCCTGTAAGCTGGATCCTCTCCCAGTTTAAGCAAAAAAGAAGTCAGGGCCTCAGAGACCTGATTCCTGCCCTCACTTGATCAGACAAGGCCTGGGGGAGCCATCCTCACAGCAGAAACCAACCTCAGACAAGCAAGAGAAGGGAAAGCCCATCAGGAATGGCACTCAGCAATAGGAAATGCACTGAGGCCGGTAGAGGGCTTCCCAGAGGGGTCAGGATGCTAGACCTCATCCAGGGCACCACCCCAGCCTCTGTGTAGGGAAGGGAACAGACAGGAAGGGAAGGAACAAAATGCCTTCTATCCATCAGTCACTAGCCTGGGAAAAGCCTTCTCTTGAGTGAGACACTCAGGTCACAGAGAGCAGGAAAGACATTCTCTTAAACTTGCCCAAATGGTTCTGTTAGTCTTACTCATAGAAACATCCTTCCCCTAAGAGCTTGATGACATGCCTAAATTTATTAGAGTAAATCTCCCTGCATATTATTAAATAAAGGTGGATTCTCTCTGTTTAGCAAACAAAGGAACTGAGGCATACCAAAGGGACATGACCAAGGATCATGACTCTGGCAGTCAGTGGCCTACTAGAGGGAAAGGAATGAGTCTTGCATTGTGCTTTGCTGTAAGCTTACTATGGTGCACCCAGTAAATACTTAGTGAGTTTTAGGTTGATGTTGGATTGGCCCAAAGTCTTCTGACCCCACACCAGAAGAGGGAGCATACATAGCTCAAGGACCACCCTGGATAAAGACGTATATTGCACATGAACATGGGTGCTGGTCCTAGATTTAACATGATTAGCTGACCCTGAAATCTTTTTGGCCTCAGCCTCTCCAGCTGTTCATTAACTTGCAAAATAATCAGATACAGTCACACTTGGGAGTGTCCTGTGTTGAGAAGCTGATGAAATGGTGGGAAGTCCCTTGAAAAGCAGTCTGTCCCCACGGTGTCACCTCCTTATGTGCTATCCTTCCAGGTTCCGTCTGGGCTTCAAGCACGCCTTCCGGTGCTGCCCCTTCATCAGGGCTGGCGACTATGAGGGGCTGGAAATGAAATCTACCCGGTACCTCCAGACCCAGGGCAGCGTGTATAAGGTCAGCCGCTTGGAGACCACTGTCTCCACAGTGGTGGGAGTCCACGAGGAGGAGCCCGAGGAAGGCCCCAAGGCCACACCTTCATCCCTGGATCTGACCTCCAATGGCTCCTCTCGCAGCAACTCCAAGACCATGACAGAGAGCTTCAGCTTCTACTCCAATATGCTGTCCTAGAGGGCAGGCCCTTAGCAAGGCAGCCACCACCATCCTTGTTCTGCCTCTCTCATGCATGGGTATTTCCTTGATCTGGAAACCATCAGAAACACCTGAACATCAGAGCTTTGGGGGAAGAATCAGATGGTTTAGGGAAGACATTTCATCCTAAAGTCAATCTGGATTCTTCCATCTTTGCCATCCCCCATCAGTGTAACCCAAAGCAAATCTGAATTTCTCTGAGCCTGTAAAATGAAAATATTGCACTAGATTTTACCTTCCAGTTTATTCCATGATTCTAGAGATAACTTCAACTGCATGTGGGTGCTCATTTCAGGATGAATTTTGTAGTGCAATAACAGATCCAACAGGACTGTTTGCCTGGCGCCTCTGTCTTGCTCCAGCAAAGTTGTCCTCAGCCAAGCTCTGATTAGCCTCCCTCAGCTCGTGGCTCACATCACTCTAGCCTTCACTTCACAGCATGAACAAAAGAAGGCGCCACATAATGAAAGATCTAACCTCATCTTCTCAGCACCCATGAAAAGAAGACCTATGCCTGCCCCTATTGGCATCTCAATGTTTAGGTTCATTTGAACATCACAGGATTGAAAGCCTCAGTTTCTTCTGCGCTGTGTCCCCAGTGACCATCCTGAGCTTCCATGGTGGGCAGAATATGTCAGCTGATGCCATCTAAGGTCTGTACCAACCAAGGGTCAAGAGACCCCAGCCAGACTTAATCTATCTGAGCCTCCTTCTTTATTGGCAAAGCAATGGGGCTGAACTAAATAATCTAAGTGTCACTTTGAATCTTAATGTGCCATGGTTCAATGATTGTATAAGTGTTTTGTATAATTTACAAAAAAAAAATAGTAGTCTCAAAAAGAGTAGAAGCACTAATACCCAGCTCCTAGAGAGGCAACAACTGCTAAAACATGTAAATATCCATCTCAGACATTCTCCAGGTGTCCTGAAACCCTGAGTACGTTTCTTCTGGAAGTTTTTGGCCTTTGACAGAGCAAAAGAGTCCATGCCAAAGCCTGTATATTTCCAGCATGCTTTAGTGGGCTGAATTCCACAGCTCAGAACAACACAACAAGTGGGCTTCGTGTCTAGCCTTTTGGTATCTGAGGCAGAGGCACAAACCCAAATTTGTGACTTTATGCTAGCATAAAGTGCAGGCTCAGATGCCTATTGAGCAGGGAGGTTTCACCTGCAACTGCGCTTCTGGAAGAGGGCAACTTGCATTCTCCTCATTGTTTGAATCTTCCCTTCCTCCCCCATAGCTTTGCTAGTCTCCTCTCTATAAGAGATAGAATGACCCACCAACCCTAAAGGACAGTCAGTCTGCCAAGAGCCATGAGCTGAATGCTTCATGTTCTAATGCAGCTTTGGGGTCTCCAGCAGGTGAGCATTTCTGTATCCTGCCCAGATGTGTCTGGAAGCAGAAACTTCATGTAACATTCATGAATGTCCTTGTGGTTTGAATAATGGATGTGCATTGGCTGCATTCATGATGTGAAGAGGAGAATAATACCACCCACAGGTTTTACAGCCTCCACCAGCCCTGCTGGCTCTAACTCTACAAGGGTATGGACATGCCTGGGGAGAGTTAGTTGTATATCAGTAGCAGAAGCCAGAAAAACCTGAGAACCATATTCTGCAAAGCAGCATGGGAAGATTTAAATAAACCAAGTAAAGCCAACTCAATGCAGATCCATGAACGGAAAGCAAGATTTAGGAGCAAAAAAAGGCAGCTAGTCATGCTTCCAATGGAAAATCATGCCCTGTGTGGATGTAAAGGATGAACATGATTATGAGAAGTACCTAAGAAAAAAGTATCAAGGAGTTGGGGTCATCCCATCTACAGGAGAGAAAGTTGGAGTTGAATTCAACAATGATTTGTTGAGCACTTGCTCTGGATTTTGCCTTGAGCTGGGGACATGCAGTTCCTTCCACACTTAAGGGGACTTATCCCAGACTTGCCATTCCTGGCTCAGCTGTCCTAGTGAGTCCAGGCTGCCTATGGAGGTATCTGGGAAGCAGACTCTTCACAGGATTTTTAAAAACCATACTTACCATGGGTAACTGAGCCAAAGGCTGTGGCCTTCAGAGAGCCTTTGCAATGAGAGTTCCCTGAGATCACTGCAAAGAGAACCACTAGTCCATCCAGGGGATCTAAAGGGATGTGATTGAATGGAGTCATCACTGTGCATAAAAGGAAGTGTGAGATAGACTTGGGCAGCTTTCAGTAAGGTTAAACATTCCCTCAAAGTGCCAGCAAGCCTTCCATCAACTCATTCTCCAACATCCATTTAGCTTATAAAAATGTTGTCAGTTCCCATGTGTGAGGAACACCATGATTTGCACTGTGCATGGGTCTCGTACATGTCACCCTGTGTTTATCTCCAAATGTTTACCTCCTAAGTATGTTTGCTTGATGTACCTGTCCAGTAGTAATAGAATAGGAGACATCACAGGGCCGTCTTTGTGACTTCCAAAATGTGGAAACCAGTTGCTGTGGATGTGTTATCTGTGTTGTGCCAATCTCCTCCCTGTCACCGTTCTTTCTCGGGGAGGAGCTCTGATGTATATTATGTACTCACAGTAATTGGTGGTGGGGAGGGGGACCTTTGGGGAGGAACTAGATAACAAGAATCTTTATGTTCCTGAACCCCCACCAGAATGCTAAGAGATAGGACTGAGTGGGATCCCAGGAAAAGGGATTCAGGAGCTGACCTCATTGGCCTGATTTTAGGGGAGAAGTATGTAAATGGAGAGGGGTCATTCCTGAGGTTTCCATGTTTTCCTACCTGGGATCCTGGAAAGAGTCTCTATAAAAAAATAAAGTATGTTTTTGATCATCTGTGCCTTCGTCTCTTCTCTAAGCAACAGAAACACCCTACAAGAGGCTGAACAAGATGATGCTGATAATAACCTGCATAGCTATAAAGGTGGAACTAACATCCAGTAAACTCCAGATTCTGTGACGAAATGGGTTGGCAAGGTCTGGGAACTTTGCTCCAGGCTGACGTCTGGGAAGTGAAGTGGGATTATGACTTGTGATCAACAACGTCACCTGGGAATAGAGCTGAGTCAGTTCAGGTAATCCAAGAAGCAGACACAAAGGCAGAAGTGGAAGAGCAAGAGATTAGCTGGGGTGGGGTGGGCTCAGGGGAGATCACCTGGGAAGATAAGGGATAAAAACAAAAGGAAGCAGGAGCAGGCAAGGGAAATACTTTCAGATCGATACACAGATCTAACTCCTAAGAAAAAGCAGCAGGAGGAGCCTCCAGATTGTGGGGCAGCTCCTCAGCTGGGCAACAGTGTGCAGAGACTACCCAGAGAGAACTCCCACATTGGCAGAAATAACCAGGCTTAGCACCCTGCCAGGCTTGGCCAGGGGCTGAAGCTCTCTGGGGAGGGTGGTTTGCTCTTGAACACTCTGGTGGATCTGAAGCCCTGTGGCTGGAAGCAGTCAGCTGAAAGCACTCCCCGCCACCCACTCTCTCCTGAAGGCAGATCAGTGCCACGTAGCTGCACAATGCTACCCCAGCTTCAGTCCAGCCTCTGTGTTTGAAAACACATCAGGAAACCCTGGCAAATTCGAAACATCAGAGGTGATCACTGGGGAACCCTGGCAAACTGCCTCCTATTCCCAGCCACCTGTTCCTCCTATAGCACCTCACCCTGCAGATGGCACCATCCAGAGAACAAATGACAACAGACTCACAGTGACAAAGAATATAAAGGCTTTGGGAGACTGGCTTGGAGCAAAACATAGATACAGCTATCCAACATAGTACTGGAAATAAATAAAGGTGCTTGCACTTATATTAAGGCATCTTAAGTGGGAGTCCCTGGTTAAGCTTGGAGGAATGCACAAGCCCCAGTCAAGATCCCCTCAAAGCGTATGTAAAACATTGTGTGTGTGCGGGTGTGCACATGCACACATGTGTTTAATGAGGATTAAAATTAATCTGAATCTCCTCAGAAGAAATCATTAACCCTCTATTCTTCAGAACGAAAAGGAGAGACATTAAATTGTTTATAGGGAGAGGGGCAAATAAACTAGAGACCTTCCAAGCACAGTAAGAAGCAGATGAATCCTGGGAGGATCCAACAGACAGCCGGGGAATGAGAAACAAGTTTGGAATAAAATCATAATTCATTGCATGCACCCAGATGAGTTAAAGCTGTAGAACGCCATCAAAGACATCTGTGGCAGTAAAAACATCAAATTCATGATGAGGGAGTATGCTCACTCTACTCCGTGAAAAGACAAGTACTTATTAGCTGAGGAAAGACTACACCCTAGTTATAGATTGACAAATAATATAAGATATGGGGCACAGACGTTCCCGTCCAAATGCAAAGCCGTTTTCGTTTATTCCTGGGCACACGTGACTTGCATACAACTGAAGGTGCTCAGCCTTGGGAGTCACACCTGTTTGCCTCAGATCACTTTTGTAAAGAGACCATAGGTGAGTAGATGGATGTCCTCAGCTCTGGAGCTTGAAAGCAGTATTTTAGTCATGGCCCCAGCAGAGGTGGGTAAGGAGGGGGCACAGAGGAAAGGTTCTTTACCTTTATCTTCACTGGCAAAGGAAGCATGCGATTATAGAACTTGCTTCTCTGACTCCACAGTCGATACTCTGAGACACCATCATTTATTTCTACCCGGTTGAGGGTAAACAGAGAAGGGGAAAGAGGCCACAGGCCAGCATTTCTCAGAAGCTCTGATTTCAACATAAAGGGTGAAAATATAAAGCCTTTAGTCCTGGCTTTTCTCAAGCAGGAAAGCTTGCAAAAGGAAAAGATTGCTAATTAAGAAAAAGTGACTGACGCTGGGGCTGGGGCTCAGCGGTAGCACACTTGCCTGGCATGTGTGAGGCACTGGGTTTGATTCTCAGCACCACATATAAATAAATTTTAAAAAATAAAGGTCTATCAAAACTAAAAAAAAAAAAAAAATTTAAAAAAGTGACTGAAAGACCTGAGCAATGACATGAAGATGTGGGTCAACAGACCATCACTGTCTCGTGCATGTTAGCTGTGCTGGCTTCGTAGGTTTTCATTCAGATTTAACCCCCTGTTCTCTGCATTGTGTGCATGTCTCCTTTCTTTCCTACCTTCCTTCCTTCCTTCTTTTTGCTCCAGTTTCTGTTTGTTCTCCACTCTTTAACTGGACACTACTCCTGTCCCAAGAAGCCACTAACTTCAGTGGGTAGAGTCCTCCTAACAGTCCTCTACCCACTGAAACCTCTGGGTTTTATCCCCACTGTGTGTTAAGGACTGTCTCCCACCTGCCAACTTCACATGACGGAATCCTAACTCTCAAAGG